AACCATGGAAACAATCATTGCAACGCCGAAGAGTACGTACATTGTTCTTACCACGAACATGACCACAATCAGCAGTATGGTAACACTCATCTGTACCCGTGACACGGACAAACCTGTACAAATCACGATCATCGTGATCTCTCTCACGCCTGGCTTCCAAAACCCTCTCATTGCGTTCACTGACAAGTTTAGCGATCACTGTTCTAGCAGTGGAAAGCTCACGTTGCTGCATAAGAAGTGCAACGATAGCAATGGCAATCACACAGCTCTCCAAGCTGAATGATTCGGCCCACATCACAGCTCCAGTAATCAGCACTCCCAGCAGTTCTTCAAAACTCGCATCAGCAATGCGATTGAAATCAACACCGTATCCACGGATCCAGCTCAAGGCCCGAATGAAAACAATGACCAACATCATGATCATAGCAAGCCAGAACAGGTAAGTCGGTGTTTCATTGCGGCGAGGCACGTTCACGACTGCGTCGGCACCCATAGGCATAAGCAGCAAAGTAAGCATAGCGATTTGCTTGGCCATGCGATTCACAGATCCACCTGGCACACGGTTCCAGTGATGCTGTTTGCACAAATCACTTTTCACCTGCTTCAAGCTAGCACTGAACTTCTGCTTCAAAATCAAGTTCTGATGATCATCAGCTCCAACTGGTTCACACGTGAATACATCCACAAAACCGTGCATGAACAGCAGACAGCGCAGGCGGTGACATGAATGCATCTTGGTTGACAAGTCGCCCAGATTAAAAAGCACTTGCAACTGCACCAATATCCAACAGCTTGTCTTTGACTGATTGCTGCAACCAGAGCATCCTGCCTTCGAGGCCAATTGCCGACATGCAGAGTTGTCAACTTTGAGGTGTAGGTTGCATGGACTGTCCGCCATAAACCTGAAGATAGCACGCAAGTAAATACCTTCACATGAAGCAGACACTGCAGCGCACCACTCGTTCTCACAGCTTGAAAGAGAAACTGTACGATGTGATCCGCGCATATGATGAAACGCTGCACCATTGAGGACAAATGTGGCTGCCCCATAGCTTTTACGTGTAACTCTGTTGCCCGACCAGTCAGCATCAGAATAAATCTCAATGCAGTGATCTCCATCCTCGTGCTCATTCTCATAGAACAACGTGGATCCTGGCTTCTTTGGTTGCAACATGACCCCATACTCCGCAGTGTTCATCAAGTACTTGACCAAACGATGGAGTCCTTTCATCGCCAAGACCGTTGGTGAAGCCATGAAACCTGCCAGGACTCGAACTGCATAGCAAATGTCGTACCGGTCTGAGGAAACATACAGTGCAACTCCCAATGCAGAGCGGAACCTCGATGTCTGACCAGGATCCAGAGGAGCACTGGTGTCCGGACGAATCAGCTCAGGCAAATAAGGTGTGTTGTAATTTGAACCATGTTTGATGCCAAGGATGTCAGCCATGTGCTTGATGTAAGAGCTCGGTGTCTCAATCAAAATGCCATGTTCCAGGATTGTATGCTTTCTCTTGAGAAATGTGAACACATCTCCAGGCAATGCAGCAATTGTCACAGAAATCTCAAATCGCTGTTTGAGCAGCGGCACTAGCGTCTCTCTCAACCAAGCAACTGGAGCCAACACCAGATCATCATCTATGTGAAGAAGCATTGGCCCATGCTCTGTGCGCATCACGGCTGGATTCTCAAGGCGTGACTCAACTTTCATGTTATCACGTAGGTAGTCCACATAGAATTGAAACCATCGTTGTGATCCGTCCCTTTGACCCGGCACACATCGCAGAAAGATGTACCGCCCACTACCAGCAAAATCGCTGGGCATATTAGCCACCAGAGGTGTCTGCTGGGGTACTTCAAGAAAAGCGTCTTTGACGTCTATGGACGCTATCCCGTACTGAACCTCCGGTCGCGCCGCCCGCCAAATCAAGAAAAGTAGTGGAAGTAATCTAACCACGCTTGTGGATGTAGCCGGTGGAAACAGTCCCTGCCTTTCCTCAAGCCACTTGAACTCTCTCGCAACAAGCCTTGACCTGCGCAAATAATGAGGACGGTTGTCCTTTTCCTTCTGACGCCAGCTCCGAACGAACTTCGAAGACAGGGATTTCATTCCCTCTGTGCTTTCGCCAGTCTGTACTTGTCTCATGACCCCTTTGGCCACAAGACAGCTCACTTCAACGTCATCAGCAAGCCTGTCCAGATTGTACAACTCTGAATCTGTTAGAACAGGTTCACCCTTGCCCTGATCAACAAACGACAGTGCGCTTGCACCACCTGCCTCGTACCAAGCTGCCGAAACAGGATCATCGTCATCGCCTTGCACGGCGTAGAAGGTCTCAGCATCGACCCACTCTTCATAGTCTGCATCGTAGCCCTCATCATTCAGAGCACACGTGGAACCACCAAAGGTGACATTGCGGATTCTTGCAACCTTGCTTTCACAGGAAGTGGTGAAGTCATCACGACATCACCTGCAGCGGAAATTTCTGGCAAGATTGCTTCGGGAGTAGCCGGGCCAATCACTGGCTGCTGGCTAGGATTGCTGGGACCTGGTTGGTCCAACTCAACACTTGTAGGAACAGGCTTTGAACCCTCTGGCGGAGGCACGGGTCCTAAAGGAGGTAGTGCTTCGGCAGGGGTAACCGGGACTAAACCACCTATGCCAGAGGTCGGTGCTGGGGTACTAAACCCTAGAGGAGCTGGGGTAGGAGGATCAGCTGCTTCATCCTGAATCTCGGCAGGTTGAGATCACCACCGGTCCTTCTCACTGACCTGCGCACACGAATGCCTGCTTTGCTGGCAACAACATACATGTCGTTTGATGATCACCTCCGCAAACACTGGCTCTCCAAAAGCCACTAGCTTTCCAGTGTAGGCATTGCCAGTGCAACGTTCGTATGAAGTAAGGCCTCCTCGCACTACAAAACGATTCCTGGTCCATGAGGCATGCGCAAACGACCATGCAAACAAGGGGTGCTGGGCAGTTATCTCAACTCCAGCCTTCTCCCTGACACACTGAACCATGGTCATGGCCAACCTTCTTATCAGGTCAACTGCCTTCTCCACTGCGCCGTTTGACTGGTGATGATGAATGGGAGGATTCTGTTCGAGTGTTTTCAAGCCCAAGCGCTGTCTGGCTGTAACAATGGCCTTCTGAAGGCTCAGAGTGGCAGGCTCTGAATCGCACTTGATTTGCACAGTGGCATGCCCTAAGCCTTGTATGAAGCGCATGAGCTCGACTCCCAAATGCCTGGTGCTGGCCTTTGACTCGCAAGGAACTGCAAGCACGGAACCAGTTGAACTATCATGTGCAATGAGGCAGCACATAAGACCACGCAAATCATCCTCACTCTTAGGTTCCTCGGCTAGAAACTCATTTGACTCTGGGTCATAGCCTGGTGTAGCAGAAGTCATAGGAGATGCATGGAACATCCCTCGGACCCTCAACCAAGCCTTCAGAGCGATCAGGCATGGCACGCATAGAAACACAGTGGGGGCACCATGCCGCGTAGGGCATGTGCGTGATCTCGTGGATCAGTTGTTGCTCGCGCGATGGTGGAGATGGTAAGCTCTGAGCATTAGGCTGCCTTGATTGTTCGGACAGTGCATCACGCGCCAAATCGGCAGCCAAGGAAAGTTGCTGCTTCTCAAGATAGCCTTTCAGCCTCTGAAACAAACGTGTTTTGCTACCAGAGGTTCTTAACCCAAACTTGACGCACGCAGCCTTGAGGGCCTGAGTGGCACTGGTGCAGGAAGGCTCGATGCCATCCACGGTGATAGAACCTTCAACACGCTCTGGCTGAGCACGAGACTCTTCCATGTCTGGAAGAGGCCTAGGTGCCAGCTCCTGGGCTTCAGGAAGCTCACTGATTTTCACCTCCTCACCTGGAACTTCATCTTGCATGCGCTCTTCAGCTTCAATTTCTTCAAGCTCTCGAGACAGAGTGTCGTAGTCTACGGCTTCGCCAGGAGGCGGCAACAGAGACTCATGTACCTGAGTCCCAAGTTCGGTCAAAGGCTCAGGATGCACATGCAGCAGTACGAGCAATTCTGCTACCCCGCCACCGGGGATATCATCTTCTAAATCTTCAAGGCTTTGCCATTCTTGACATTGTTCGAGCACAAACCAAAGTGAGGACTCGTCTCTGCGCATTAAGGTTGAACGGTATGGCCAATACGTGGAGGCCATCAACGTTGGATCCACCGTCCGGCTTGACCTACCCCTCCACGCAAGATGACCAGAGGAGAGAATTTGCCAACCGAAGCGTAGCTGTCACACTCAGCATTCAACTCTGCGCGGCCAATGACTCTGACTGCATGGTGCACAGTAGTTGCATTATCACTGGGTTCTGCAACAGTTCTGACTGGAGTTGCATTCACTGGCACGGACCTGGATGATGCTGTGGATG